TGTTTCCAATGGCTCCTGATTTAATTTCATCTGCAAATCTAATTAACATGCTGTTTACCACAGTTTTTTCCAGGTTACAAATGGACATGCTCAGCAAAGAACTGCAGGAGCTAACAGAGATTCCTGAGACCCCTTCTCAGTGGCTGTCCTACTGGGATACCCTCAGAAAGTGCAATTAACTTTGTCCAGCTCAGGGGATGGCTGCTTCAGCCACTTTGCACCTTTTTGATGGACAGCTGTGTCTCTCCCTTAATCAGCCAATTTGGAGATAGAACAATTACAAAAGATAGCAATTACTGAATGCAGTCTGTCATTGCAGAGATGGAGGATGTGAAGAGGAAGAGAAAAAGAAGAAATGGCCCAGATTTAGAGTTGGATGATTAAAAAAAATCTCAGCTCTACCTAGGGAGTAGACCTAAGCAGGAAGAGGCTGAAAAGCAAAGAGACTTCTAGAGTCAGAGAAGGGAAATGCAGCCTGGTTGCCTAGCAAGCTTCCAGCCCATCTCCCAGTCTTCCAATAATCAAAGACCAGTGCTTGCTTCTTGTTGTTTTTACTGCTCTTAAAGATTCCAGGAGTTTCTTAAAATCATGTTGTGGTATTTAAATAATTACTTTTTTTTATACTAGAGATCTAATGGAGGGCCTCACACATGCTAAGCATGCACTGTGCCACTGAGCTATATCCCAGCCTTGAACAAATACTCTTAAGGTATTTACTTTTATCTCAAATTTTATTGTTGTACTTTAAATATATTTCACTTTGTTTTTTAAAGTGAATGAAATGATTGGCAAAATCTTTTTTATAGTGATTACAAACCATAGAGTTTTAAGGATATGGATGTTTCTTTAAATTTTTTTCTTTTTCTTCTTTTTTTGACTCAGTAATCCAAGTTCCTGATCTTTATCTAAATTCTCTTTAACAATTGTCCCAAAGCACCATATCTATTCTCCATGCACAGAGCAAAGACCCCAAAGGAGATACCAGTCAATGAGAAAATATTATTTCCCAACTCTAATAGTCACAGTTCTTACACGATTAAGAAAACTTCATAAGGAAAATAATATCCATCTCCATTTAAATATATTTATTCAGAATTCTTTCTGATTAAATGTATTTTTTAATATAGGAGCATGCAAATAAGAAAGGCAATTTAAAAAATCAGATCGTTGGTAGAAGTTATGTTGAAAACTTGTGGAGCTTAATATAGAAATCCTTCCCACCTAAGTTTACAAACATCAGGAAGAAGGAGAGACAAACCACAGTTAAAGGATGATTTCTAGGGAAATGTTTTTCATATTTTGGGAGGAGATAATCACATTGGATGATCTTTCTTATGTATATTCTACAAAAGTCTTGTTCTTTGCCTCTCTCCAAATTGTTCTGTTCCCATGAAGGAAAGGGAAAGGGGAAATCATATAAAATTCCAGCTTTCCTGTGAGTTTAAAAAAAGAGGGAAAAGTTCTAGAGGGAAATGTCTGAGAAAGACAAGAATTACTATGACAATCAAATGTCCTCTGTCCGATAAACTGAAAAGTGTCTGTGGGAAGCTTTGACACTGAAGCATCCTGGAGCCCTGAAACAGGTAGAGTCTGCTCAACCTGCATTTCTGCAGTACCTTGGACAGGCCCAGCTCCACACTCCCTGGAGGAGAAACCACGGTAAATGTTTTCTTGAGAACAAACTGAGATTCGTCCAAATTGGACCTCACATTGAGTCCTTGTCTCATGTTGGTTATGTGGCCTCACGTGAAATATTTGATCTCTCCTCCTCAGCTGTCTCAGCTGATCAGATGTCTGCTCTCATCAGGGTGTAGTAGTGAGCAAATGAAATGATGGAAGTGAAACTTCCTACACAAATAGGACATTTTCTGTAATTAAGATTTCACAGAATCTTGAAATATCTATAGCTACTATTAATCACCACTGGAAAAATATTCTATTTTGTATTAGTCAATCCCAGTCCAGAAATATTACCACTAAAATTTTCAAATGAACAGATAGTAATTTAAAACTTTTAAATATTTTAAATGTCTAAACAAATAAAATACCTCTTAAATACTTAATTGCATATATTTCTGATTTTATTTACTCAGTAATAATCTATTTCAAACAATCAAATTTAGTATGTATTTTTTCACAGGATTTCAATCTTGAATTTTATATTTTGGAATTATCCTACCATTTAATTACTTCTAAGTATCTTGCTATATTTCCATGCATTATATTTCTTTACCAATGATGTAAAGTAAAAAGCAAGTCATGTGATATCTATCATTTTGAAATTAGCAAATACTTGATAATAGTGATGGACTGCTAAATAATGAATAAAAGAACAGTGTGTTAGTTAAATTCATTTAGCCATCAGGATTCCTGAAACAACTGCGTTAACCATTTATAGACAGTTTGCATATCAATGAATAGTTGACCTAGTTTGGTTGCAAATATGGCTGAAATTAACCAGATCCCAAATATTCACTCTCAGTTCTATAATTGCTAACTGATCATTCAGTGATCTAATTTAGTATTCATTGGTCAACCTCCAAATGGCCTGAATATTTGGATATACACAGAATGTTGTTATTCAGATTTTGCCTCGAATAACATATAAGCAAGAAAAATATATGTAAAATATGCTATGGAAAAACTCCAAGGACACGTGCGTGCACACATGCATGTGTGTAAAGTTGATATTGCCCATTGCCAAAGACTATTTGCTTACAATTAAAGGACTCCCTAGTGATTATATAGAGATACTGGGATCACATTAGTGATCTTTATTTATGGAAGGAAGCTTGATAGTAGTCTTAAGGATCATGTACCATCTGAACTCACTGGGCAATCTTAACACCCCTAAAAAGTAGGATAAGGAGATAGTACATGCCTTACAAAGTGATGCAACAGGAAGTAGGCACCCAGCACTAACTAGGAAATGTTCTTGGCTAAAAATTGCACCTGAACCTAATCAAGCCTAAAGACCTATAAACAATGCATAATGTTTAAATCAAGTGAAACATACCTATCTCCTCATTCATCATTACTAAATGATAAAATTCAGAATCCTTCTATCATTTTGATTTGTACCCTGCTTTATTATTTATAGTCACCGTGCTGTGCACCAGTGCTCCAGAACTTCTTAGTCCTCCGTAGCTGTAACTGAGCACCCATCCATCAACCTCTCCTCATTTCTGCTCCCCTCTGACCCCCAGCCTTGTAACCACCATTCTGCTCTCCACACTTCACACCTTAATCACCACACAGAATCCCATGGTGGGCAAAGAAAGGAAAACAATGACTTTGCACAAATGAGCTCACTGCTAGCACCCCCTGGTGTGATGCCTGCTGCATGAGCTGCTGCTCCTGACTCCAGAGTAAGGAGCTGGGGGTGGAGGCTGTGGGGTCTTAGGGATTTGTGGCCAATGCATCTGCAAATGCGGAGAAGGTGGAAAAAGATGATCTCTGTACAAAAAATTTCCTCAAATTTTGAGATTAATATGTACATTTTCCTTAGATTTTTGTTTTGCCTTTGTAAGTGGCTTCATTTCAGGTGGCTACGTTTTATTTTTGTGCACCCTCTCCAACATAACAGGTATTTCTTAAGCTCAGGAAAAATATGAATCCCAAGTTGCCATGTGTAGAGAAGAGAGCTGCTCCACATGAAAGAACTTCTGCTCACACCCTGTCCCCATAAATCCCAGCACACACAGCTCACCACAGCCCTCCAGGGAGAGCAGAGAAGCGTAATGTGGAGCAACTGGAAGGGTGAATGAAAGCACATCCTGATGTCTTGGAGCTAAGAGGAGGAAAAGGATATTTACATACAGCGAGATGTCAACCCGGAAAGTTCAGTGTGCTCAGAAATAGACAGTGGCTGGGACAATGATGGAGGAATCAAAGTGCTACAGCAGATTGCATCTTTCATGTTTAATTTTCATTTAATTCCTAAAGAGGGCAGAGGTTCAAAGGAATGACTCACCCTCCTCATCCTCATCCTTCAGAAAAACTCCCGCCTATCCCACAAACACCCAAGCCTAGAAATACCCCATTTGTTACGCCCTGAATTGATCGTTTTTCATCAAGCACTTATTGATTAGAAACAATGTTCATCTGAGCCTCAGCCACAAAGTGGTGTTTCAACCAAGTGGAGATGGACATTCCCAGCCTGTTCCTGTGAACCAACCCATCTGTCATCATCTTTGTGCCCAGAGGGAACAGTGAAAGTCCTCTTGCCCCCTCCTCCTCCTCTTCCATTTCTTAGTTGCTCTGTCTCACAAAAATACAGTTAACCTATTAAAGTATTTTATTTGTTTTAAGCAGAAATAATTTTGTGAGCATACTCAAAAAAAATGAACTAAAGTTAAGTGATGGTATGAAAATTCCAAACAGCAGGAATACTTTAGTTAAGTTCAACATGAGATTAAAAGAAGTAGAAATAACAGAGAAATTGAAATCAGATATGTTTAAATGCCTTTAAATAGCTGTTTTTATTAAATACAAATAACAGTATACAGGGTCATCTGGAAACAAAGCATGTTTTTAGTGAGATCCAGTGAGAAATAATTCTTATTGTTATGGTTTCCAAAAAGTCTCAGAATATACATAAAATATTCACTGTGTTGCATTGATTCTGAATGGAAACTGATGTATTCTGCTGAGTTTTAGTTCAAAATAGTCTGGAAATTCCTAAAGAATTTTAGATTTACCTGAGGTCCTAGGGTTGGTGACATCTAATCCATTTTTCTCATCTATAATTTCCTTTGGGGAGGTTTAAAAAATTGTTTTTGGTATGTGTATAATTTGTGGTCTTAAAGACAACTGAGGCCTGATTTTCTTTGTTTCCACCTACTAAGATGATTAGTCATTAACACTAAGAGTGATTATTGATATTTTTAAAAATATTGATATATTTTAGACCATAGATTCATTTTTTTAAACAAGAATATGTTTAAGGCAATTTAAGAACCTATTACTTAATCCCTTATTAGGTTTTATTTTATAATGAATCTTTTTTTCCCATGATATGAAAGATTTTAGTTACAATTAAAATATTGGGAGAAAATAATGATTTCTAACTACTAACAAGTTTCTTTGTTCTTCAACTTTCATCTGGCATTAAATGTCAAAGCCCAAAGGATTTTACTGTATTGTATTTTTAATTCAAGCCCCAACTTACAGCATTTTAGATGAAATTTTAAGCCAAGTCCCATTGGTATTTGAAAGTGGCAATATCATGATTTTCCATATTTTATATTCTAGTATTTTTTCTCTTTTCCCAACCTGTTCTGTAGACAGGTTTCCAATTCTGTACCATATCTTCAAATGTGATTCTACAGGAAATTTCATATAAGTGGCAAATAGTCACTATACTTCAGAAACAAATAACCCTCTAATTTGATAACAAATAAATTTCATTTAAATGCAAAATATACTTTCATTTCCAAAACTCTAACCTTTATTTGCTACAAAACTCCTATGAAGAAATTCCATTCATGAATTTTATCTATACCAGAACAAAAATATCTAATTGCCTCTTCTATGAAATCTGTATTTATCAATTATGGCTTTCTCGGGGAAATTCTAATTTGCAAAAATGCTTTACATTCCAAGCTTTAACAGTTGGAGGTGGATGTCCTTAAGGATGGAGGGGGAAAAAGTTCTTTTTTAAATGGCACATTTACTAATTATAAAATGCTCTTATCTCTCTGTAGCCCAAGCCAAAATGAACATGTGCCTTGTACTAAGAAATCCCAGGATTGTCACAACTTGTGCCAGCTGTTGAGGTTATGACACCTGTGCCAGCATCGCCAGCTCTGCCCACTGTCATCTGTTCCAAGTGTTCCATCTGCACTGTTTGTACCAATTCTCCCATTTCTGCATCTGTACCTTCTGCAGAAATGTTTCCAACAATGCCAGCTGTGTCACTGGTGCCAAATATGCCAGATGTTCTATTTGTCCACCCTGGGCCAAATCAATGCAGTTTTGTGCTCATTAGTTTTAGCTGGTAGATTCTATTTTACAATTTTTTGAGATGTACTTAGATTGAATCCAGGCAAAAATCCCCTTTACAATGATATTACATCGATCCATCCATATTTTGCAACCCCAACTTTGTACCTGAAAACAGGAAGTCAGCCGATGTTATTTTGATCAGATTAAACCAGCTCATGATAACCAGTTCAATATGAATTGTGGTAGAGAATTTCCTATGATGCAAAACTCTGTATCACAAAAACCATGGAACACAACAAAAAATTGGCAAAGTAATTAAAAAAGAATAAATTTTGTTCTGATAAACAAATTGAGAATGCTCAGAAATCAATATGGTAAGCCAATTAGCATAATCTGTGGCATAATGTCCCATTAAGCTTCCTGTTTATTGGTCTTTTAATTGATAGAGTTAAACATGTGGATTAATGTTTATGTCATATATTCCCATTTTCTGCTTTCTGCTCCAGGGAGCATTAATCAAAGGTGCACACAGGTGGTAGGGCAAGACCCATCCCTCTTGCTGCTTCCTGTAGAATTAAGCAAGCTCAGGATCTTGTCCTCCAGCTAGAATATAGCTTCTCTCTTCTCTCCCAAATGTCAATTCTGCTGGTGCCAACACAAACCATTCTTGTTCATATGCTCTTCCAGCTTTAAAAATTGAAGGCAAAAAAGTATTTTCATACTCACAACCTCAATATCCTGTGTCACCACAAACCAAAAAGTAATGTTTTTCTCTTTTCTCATTCAGAAGTCTTTTCAAGAAGGCCAAAAGCTCAATCTCTGCATTTTGACCCAAATTCTTTCTTTCCAAATCTTTTTCAAATGTGGAGGATGAATGTACCATTTGTCATTTAAAAACAGGAAAGAGAGGTCCAGAGAACATGAAGCTACCGCTTATTTACTCACCCTGGGTTACTTCACTTGCCTCTGTCAGTGATAAAAGCTGCACCTGTTCACTAGTGCTTGAAAGTTCATGATGAAATTCTCGACGACAAACAAAATGACAGTTCACAGTCATGTCCAGGGATTTGCAGTCACATGAGCTCCAGTGAAGAAATGTCTCACAAGCTTTGTCAGGTTTTCAAAATCTATACAGAAAACACAGTTTCCATAGTGAATCACTATATTATTCCAAAAGTAATGAACTGAATTTAGATCTGAGGGTAAACTCCTGGTAGTATCTTGCCTTTTCAGACAAGGATCTGTTTGCTGAGGCATCAGATGCACAATGGCAACAGTCTCAGCAAGTGCAGATGCAGCTTCCATTCCACATACTCTTCCTATATTGTCTCAGTGATTATGTCTCAGTGTCCCAAGTCATTTACTCTCCTACCCAAGTTTTACCTATTTCTGATCTTTTCGCTACAAACCTTTTCCTACTCTCCTTTGAACATGAAGATGTGATTGAATAAATATCTATTCTATAAAATGGTAGCTTTCTATCAAAATACACCCAGCTCCTAGCTAGAAGGATCCAGTCTGAATCTGTTGACCTCCCTTCTAGAAATTCCATAAACTTTTAAAATTCAAATTCCCTGTGTTGCAAGACGCCAGAAAGGAACATCCTTAATTAGGATAAAAATAGTCTGTGACTTGTTGGGAGTGCACCCTGTACCTTCTCAGTACATTTTAATTAATGTAACTTCAGCTCCCTGCTGACAAAGATGTTTCTGATGGTGTTTTGGCCCAACATATTTACCGCCTTCATGGATGTGAGTCACTTGAACGCTTGGAGAAATCCACAAACTTCAGAGTTTCATGTAAAATAGGGAACTGAGTGTTAGAATTGCCAGGTGGGCCTAAATAGCTGAAAGTATTTTTCATCATCTATCTGACCTTCTTTATGTAACTTCTTGATATGGGAATCATGAGAGCCCTTGGATTTGAAGATAAAGAATTGAAACTACACATTTCAAGGTTTCCATAGAAAAGCAGAGAAAAAGACCTGAATGTTTTAGGAATTTGCTATCATTACATCTAGCTTCTTATTTATTTATTTATTTATTTATTTTGCTACTGGAGATTGAACTTGGTACCTTGCACTGGCGAGGCAGGCGGTGGAACCACTGAGCTAAATCCCAGGGCCAAAGAGTAGCTCTGGTTTTTGGGAGGGTTCTTGGTACAGGGGATTGAACTCAGAATCTTGTGCTTGGGACTAAAAGGTATAATAGATAATGTGAAATAGGAAGAAAAGGGGAAAGGAGAAGGGGAAGTAGGAGGGGTAGGGGTAGAGGAAAGGAAAGAAGGGAATGAAATTAACATGAGAAAATGAAAAAAAGCAAACAAAGTCTCTGTAAATAGGGAGGGATGGAGGGGTTGAAGGGAGGGGAGGGGAAGGGGGAAAAATAAGAACCAAGAGAGATTATGTAAAGGTGCAGATTTCCAATGATGAATGTCATTATATTGTTTACCTAAAATGTACCAATAAAAGGATATATAAAGACAAGAAAAAAGAATCTTGTGCTTGAGAGGCAGGCGCCAGAACCACTGAGCTAAATCCCTGGCCCTAGCTTCTCTCTTAGATAGTTGTTTTTCTGGAATGTGTAAATTGCCATGAAGGAGAAGTCTGTCCATTGCTTCCCTGGCTATTTAAAAAAGAGAACTTCAGTCCTTTTTCCTTCAGTATTCGTCTTCCTGCTTTCCCATTCTCACGGTTCACACTTTCAAATTTGGAAGAAGGGTAAAAACTAACCTTTTTAGTTGCATCATTGTTGGGTGCACTAGCAAACTGAATATCCTTCTTTACAGCCCATGAATGGTAGCAGTTGCACGATCAATATTCACTAAGAGAGTATAAAAGGAGGTACTAACTTATGCTGAGATGTCATGGCCTTAATGTAACTGAGTACTTCAGCTACTATTGTTGTCATGTTCATCATTTCCTCACTCATTTCTACATCACGTTATTTTCAGGAAAATGACATTATTTAACTCACTAATGTTCCAAGACTTGTATTTAGCTCCTAAATGGCAGTCTTCAGCTCCAGTGTTGATATATGTAGACAAGCTATCTACATCTAGAAGTCTGTCAAAATGTAGAGTGGTTTGAGGGAACAGAACAAAGGTTGATATTAAATAAAGTAGGGCAACCATATAAAAAGAATAAGTTACTGCTCTAACTCGATAGGATCAATGGACAGAAGTGGACTGTCTTGGTTAAATGAAACAAAGTGATCAGAGAGCATTAGGAATTAATGATTCACAAAGTTACTGAACCATCAAGTAGAAAGCAGCCATAAAGATTTGCTTATCCAACCAGAAAACTGAGATCCTCAGAGGCTAAGTGGTATATCCAAGCTCATACTGCTAATTAATGGCAAAATCAAATCTACAAATTCTCCATGCCTCAGTTTCTGCAAATGTAAAATGGGGATAATAGTAATTGTATCAAACCAAGAGAGTTGTGGTGAAGATTAAATGAGTGAACAGGTACAAATAAAGCACTTAGAATGGGATCTAATAGGTAGTAAATGCTATGTGTTAATCATCATCATCATTGTCATTGTTGACATTATTAGACTATCTGAGTCCATATGATTTTAACTTTTATAGGATCATACTAGCTGAATCTTGCAAATCTCAGCATCAATTTATAGTCATACTTTTTTTCCTGGGCCGTATGATTGTCTTATTTCCATGTTTTTATTTTGACCATCAAATTGGTTATTTTGAAAAGAAGAAGTTGGAATATGAGTCTAGAATTAAGTAATGGCCCAATAGTTTGACTTCCTGTCTACTACACCGGCACACAATGCATTCGGTTGATGCAGGGAACTCCAAGGTGCCCAAGTTAATGGAAGGAAGCAAATGCATGATAAATGACACGAAAACACTAGTATTTGACTTTGGAAAGAAAGCACATTGTACATCGACAGCACATTCCCAAGTGGTGATACAGCTGCTTTCCAGAGACTTCTTTTGTCCCTACTACAGGTATGTGGGTCCTGAGCAATAGCAGGGAAACCGCCAGGATTCCAGAAGGAATTACGTTGGGAAATTATGAGAAGATGAAGAGAGAAAGGAAATTATAGCAGTTACATCATAAAACTCATGTCTTGTTTCTAAATCACTTTTTGGGTTTTTTTTTTGCTTGCATGCTAAGGATTGAATTCAGGGCCTTGAACATGGTAGGCACATGCTGTAACACTGAGTTACACCCCCAGCTCCTGTAAAGCACTTTATACTTCTCCACTTTTTACTACCATCTTCTGATTCAGGCTTCAGTATTCCGTGGTTCATTAGAATCACCTGGGAGACATGGGCTTTCAAAAGCAGAATGTCAGGGTTTGGAGGTGGGGCTCAGTGCCAGAGAGCATGCTTACCTAGCATGTGTGAGGCTTAGGGTTCAATCCCCAGCAACCCCTCCACCTCCCAAAAAAGAATGTCAGAACAATTGAACGAGACCCTCTTGGGGATAAGCACTGGGAATCTGCATTTTCTTCCTTTGGTGCATATCCAAGCAGTGTATGTGTGTGTGTGTGTGTGTGTGTGTGTGTGTGTGTGTGTGTGCGCGCGCCAGAAATGAAACTAAGAACCTTGAACATGCTAGGCATGTGCTCTACCACTGAGCTACACCCCAACCCCAAGGTTTCTGTGTTTTTAAGATGCTTACCAGGATATTCTGATGCCCTGGAATGATTCAAAACAAAACAAAACAAGAAAACACTTTTTCAAGCCAAGCCAATGTTTTTCCTCTTCATTAAATCAGCCTCCTGGATGAGGACACGGCTCAGTGGTAGAACACTTGCCTAGCATGCACAAGGTCCTGGGTTTCAGCCTCAGCACCCTACCCAAACCCAAACCAAAACAGCCTCCCGATGGGGAAACTTTAGGAAATTTAAAGTAAGTATTTAGACCTTCAGAATGTTGAGCTTTAGTGCTCGTTTCAGTAGCACATATGCAGAACGTTGAGCTTTAAACAGGAAACATTACTTCATTAAAAAGATTTAGATGAAACTAGGTTAACTTTTCCTGTCTCAGCTTCTGTTCCCAAAGTCATTTCTTGCCTTATCTCAATCCATTCAAGTTGGTCTGAATCACCAAAGCCAGAGACAGAACATTAGCTCCTGAGTTTGCTCCATATGCTCCTGTAGGAGTTTGCCTCGTTGTTAACCTTGTTATAACACAAGATCTATCACAACAAGTGTTGGGATGAGCGATGATAGAGACAGGAATGTGTCGAGAGACGGGTCACTGTGCTGATATTTAGCACAACTGCAAGTACACAGCGAGATTCAAACCTAGTCACAGGATCCTAAGTATAAATCCATAGAGTATTGGACATACAATAGATGGCCTTTCTGAACCAATCATTTCAAATCATGCTTAAAGCAGTTCATAGCACTCTTGTGCATGGAAGCAGAGTTGCTCAACCTGTGGACTATGGCAAACTTGTATGGCCCAGATGGTTCATGGCCCAGAGGGCCAAGATAGTGACTCCTGCATCCCAGGGGCAGCAGAGCTTCTGGGCTAGTCATCTTCAGACATCAGCAGCCTCACCCCTTTGGCCATGCAGATATTACCATCTTCTGTATGTGCCCATGTCATAAAGAATGCTGGAGAACAGCACTCACAGCACAAGCCAAGCATCAGAGCGACACTCACTAGATAGCTGCATTTCTCGACCAATAGCTTGTAAATAAGAAGAACCAATGGGTGGCTACCATATTTTTTATTTTACTTTAATGCAAAGCAAGTATCACATACGATTCTAATTTCTAAAAGAAAGGAGACTGTTACACTGCTTCTTTCTCTTTTTTTATTTTTATTTTTTGCAGAACCAGGGATTGAACTCAGGACCTTCCACTTGCCAGGCAGACACTGGCGCCACTGAGCTAAACCTCCAGCCCTACACACTGCTTGTTTCTAAAATGGCTTACATTAAAGTAGTTTACATTATGCAAGAGATATAGCCCAAACATACACTACCAATAAAATATTTTATCAAGAGGAATTGTACCTTTTCTTCTTGATTTTTATTTTGAAATGTTTCGATCCTTTTTTCATGAAAGTCTACATTAAGAGAAAATTTTATTTAACAAAAAACTTAACAAGTTTATTCTTTGAAGATGTTCTTTATTGAAGAAAT